TTGGAGACTTTCCTGTTGGCTGGTGAATTGCTCATCCTATTCGATCTAAAACTCTCTCTCTCTCTCTCTCTCTCTCTCTCTCTCTCTCTCTCTCTCTCTCTCTCTCTCTCTCTCTCTTTCCCCTCTGTGACTTCTGCCCCCCCACCTCCATCCCAAAACTAATTTGCATTATGGGAATGCATCTTTCCGCAAACAGGGGAAGATTCATTCCCATTTTGCAAATTTGAACTGCAAAACGGGAATGAATCTTCCCGCATTTTCGGAAAGATGCATTCCCATTTTGCAAATTAGTGTTGCGTGGCAGGCAAGGGGGGCGGGGGGAAGAAGTCACACAAAGAGGCAGAGAGAGAGAGAGAGAGAGAGAGATTCGAATGAATCCCGCACACCAACGTGGCAAGATTCATTCGACGTAGTGCATATCGAGGCCGCGGCCGTGCAAGCAAGGGCGTGCGAGAGCGAGCCAGACACGGAGAGAGAGAGAGAGAGAGAGAGAGAGAGAGAGAGAGAGAGAGAGAGAGAGAGAGAGAGAGAGAGAGAGAGAGAGAGAGAGAGAGATTCGAATGAATCCCGCACACCACCGTGGCAAGATTCATTCGACGTAGTGCATATCGAGGCCGCGGCCGTGCAAGCAAGGGCGTGCGAGAGCGAGCCAGTTGGTTCAGGTTTTGGTTTTGCAATGTGAAGACGTACCATTGGTTTTGTTTGTTTCAGAAACTTGTGCTTCGGGTCTAAGTTAGCATTGTGCTTTTACTCTGTGTATTATCTGTCTCTTATACACATCTAGATGGAGGGTGGAGGTAAGGACGTAGGAATACCTAGCGTATCCCTGGATAAAATTACTATAGTAGCTGGTGAGGCCTAGGAAACTGCGAAGTTGCTTGACATATGTGGGGACGGGCCACTCTACAATAGGAGTGATCTTCGCGTCGTCCATGTGGATACCCTGGTCAAACACATGGTGTCCTAGGAAGTCCACTTTGCGCTGGGCAAAGCGGCACTTACTAAGTTTGGCATAGAAGTCATGCTTGCGTAAGCGCTGTAGGACATCCCGGAGGTATCTGATATGGTCTTCTAAGGTACGACTGTAGACCAAGATGTCGTTTAGGTATACTAGAAGGTATTCTTTAAGGATGTCCCTGAAGATGTCGTTCATCGCCGTCTCGAAGGTGGCGGGTGCATTGGTGAGGCCGAATGGCATCACCGTGAACTCGTAGTGGCCGAAGTGCGAACGGAAGGCAGTCTTCGACCGATCCTCCGCAGCAACACGGATCTGGTGATAACCACTACGAAGATCAATCTTCGTGAAGAACCGGTTGCCTGCGAAATGGTTAAACGACTCATCTGCGCGGGGCATGGGATAGTTGTTCTTAACCGTGTAACGGTTAACGCCGCGGTAGTCGCTGCAGAGGCGAAGAGTTCCGTCTGCTTTGCGAGCGAAGAGGACGGGTGCACCCCAAGAGGAGTTACTGGGTTTAATGAAACCCAGTCGAAGGAGCTCCTCAAGCTGACGCTTGAGTTCCATCGCCTCTGGAATCGAGAGTCGGTACGGTGCCTGATGGTGAACACGATAGTGAGGCACGAGTTGGATAGAATGCTCAACACCGCGCATCAGAGGTATCCCGCTGTATGAGAAATACGGAGGGAAGACGTCATGGTACTCTCGAATCAAGTCACGAACGGCAGGCTCCAAGTCTGTTGTGAACCGTGTGAGTTCCTCAATGTCTGCGTCGGCACGAAACGTATGTGTGGACTCGACAGTCGATATCGCAGAGGCCTGGGACGTGGAGGGGGTATCCGTAGGCTGACGGGTGGACGTAGAGATGGGAGCCACGAAGATGAAGGAAGGGTCAGGGGGATCGGGCTCCAGAGACATGAGCTCAACCTCGGGACATAGTGGATCATAGCGAAGAAGATCCATGACGTTCACTGAGTAGAACGTGACATCCTTATGTCGTATGAAGTGAGCAAACTGACGAGGGGAAGTGAAGGCGATGTCGGGGTGGGACCTTGAGGGACGAGGGTCCTGGGGAGGTAGGTCGGGAGGAATGTCGCCCGTGGTTCCAATGAAAGGGACGCGATGGGTCTGACTACACTTCGTTTTGAGAACCAGTGTCTTGGTCGCCCATTCGGCCTCTGTGCTACAGAACCGGCGAGACCAGGGAGTGCCGAGGATAAAGTCGTACCTTATCTCCAACACGTCGAAGTATGCGGAGGAATGGTACCGCCGAGGCGCCTGGGTACTATCAGGTGGCTGGAGGGTGAGGGAGAAGTGGAGGCCGGGGACCGTCTGTTCGAAGACGCGCTGTGTCTTTTTATCTTCGAGGGTAATGAAGATAGGAGAACGAGACCTAGAGGTAGCTAGGCGAGCTTCCTGAACCACTCGAGGGTGAACGGAATCTCCCTACGAGCCGGAGTCTCATAAAGCGTGGTACACCCTCGTAGATGTCCCTAGACTGATAGGGTTTCCTGACGAGCCTGAAGAATGCTCAAGTCTAGGAGAAATAACACAACGTCATCGCAAGTCGCCAGCTGAGCGCTACAATGGGTTGTGCGAATGGCGCGACTCGTCGGAAGTCTCGGAGGGGAAGCACTAGATATGGCAGTTTGCTGTGAGGTAGACGGTACCTCGACAGACGACGGGGCAGAGGGAACTGCATTTGTCGTGTCTCGAGGATCCTCTGGTGGGGTAGCCAAAGAGGCAAACCACGACTCAGTGGTCGAGAAGTCGGCTATGTGTGAGGCCTCAGTGGTACACTACACCGTGGCTAGCCGGGTGGGGCTGGCCGGGCGGGGCTGGGGGCGGTCTGAGATCGACGCTGACGAGAGATGTCAGCATAGTGCCGATCGAGGGCGATGTGGTATGGACACCGTGAGAAGGTGTGTCCATCCAGGCGGCAACGAAGGCAGCCGCGCCGGGCCTCAAGGGTGGCACGCTCCTCAGGGGATAGAGCTCCGCGAGGAGGGACAAAACCCTGCGGGAGGTCTATCTGAGGAACTGTGGGTGTGCAGGCGCCAGCCTATGCGATCCAACTGCACACACGACCCTTGGCAAACGTGGCCATTTGCAGGCGCTCGGCCACTAAGACAGTGTCGTCATCCAAGTGGTACTGAATGACGTCCCGAAGCTCGATGTCCTTGGGGGCGTCCCCAGTGGTAGGGTCGAGCTCGGCTGAAGCGTCCTCGCCATACTCGAGAGAACTATAGTGTCGAGAGCATGGCGCTCCAGGTCGAGTTGGGCGACGAAAGCGACCAGCAAAAGAGGAGCGGCCTCTGGTGGTACCGCGAGACTGGGAGGTGGCGGCTGGCCGTGAAGAGGATGGGGAGACGGAGAAGCGACTGCAGCCTCGTATGCCTGCTCCGCGAAAGAGAATGATCGCCTCCATAGCTCTAAGCGGTAGTCAGTCGGAGACTGACGAGGAACCGGTCGGTGAGTGTGACCTCCCGTAGGAACGTCTCATCACAAACAAGGTGGGCATCTTGAAACACCCGGATGTGACGCTCGAGGTCAGCCGGTGAAGAGGACCCGGACCATCGGGTCTGGGTGACGAGGTCTAAAGCGTCAGTGGCGTAATGACGAGCGCCAAAGCGGTCCTGAAGGAAAGCCACTAAGTCTGCAAGAGTAGGGACCTCACCCACGCGGAGTCCTCCCACGCGGTGGAAGGGCTACCTCGCAATTTGGTTGCGAGCACATCGCACTACAACTCCTGACGGGTGGTCGTCACAGAGAATGTGCGCGTTGCTATCTGCAACCAGCGAGAGACACGAGATATGTCATCATACTCGGGAATGTCCGTGGTGCGCACAGGAGGATGTCCATTGTGCTGATGGCGGGGGGAGGGAGATCGAGGCAAGTGCACTGTAGCGGCGTAAGTCGGGGCCGTTGCAGGGGCGGAGGTGGGGGAAGGTTGTGCGTCGTGGCCGCTAGCGGATGGACCAGCAGACGAGGAGGCAACGGCGGCAGGTAGTTTTCCCGGAATGGCTAGGTAAGAGGGGAGAGGCTCAGGAACCGGTCGAGGGAAACGAGCCGACATGATGAGGGTCGAGGAGGTGGTAGAGGAAGAAGAAGGGTGAGCAACCCGTGAAGGGTGAGGCTGTCGCAGGGCTAGGATCTCCACCTGAGCCTGCGCAATGGTGACCTGTAAAGTGGCCACTCGCTGGGTGCGCGAGGTCGGAGGTGGAGGAGGAGGAGCGAGTCTCCCAGTGGGAAGAGGAGTCCCAGCCTGGGTGGTACCCTGCTGTGGGACTAGGGGAACGAAGGCGGGAAGAAGCGGGCGCAGTCGTAATGTCGCGACCGATGCGGGAAGCTGGGAAGCAGCACCGGTGTGGGTCGATGAAACTGCTGGGCCAGATGGTGGTATCTCGACCGCAGCACCTGCGGCAGCAGTACAGACGGTAGGGGCGGCAGGTGCCAAGGGAGGTGTCACAACAGACGGGGTGGTTTTAACGGCAGCGACACTCACACTCACCACTGCTGAGTGGGAGTGATGGGTCTGAGCCACATGGGAGGAAGAACCTCCACGTCGTGTCGCCGGAGTCCTGAGGAGCCGACAGGGGATGGGGTGTGAGAGTAGACGGAAGAGCGATGGGGAGAGCCCTTGAGGCGGTTGACGTCAAGGGCAAGCGCATTGATTTGCGCTTGCAATAGTCCAAGTGTACTAAGTTGCGTTTGAATTGCTACAAGGATGGCATGAAGGTCCATGGTGTCCGCATGGGCCTGATCATGAGCCGCTGACTGCGTGGTGACCTGGGATGTGGACTGCGCCGTGGCGATCTCCTCGGTTGTAGCGCTCTCAGTGGGCGGTGGAGGGAGAGAAGTAAACATGATGGGAGGTGGGGGGAGATATGGGTTGTGGTTTGGGGGACAGGAGACCACCGGTAAGAGGGAGGGGACCGTGAGAGCGGAGTGGGTAATCGTGGGTCGGCTCGCCCCGTGACCAGCGGGTCGTGCGTGAGATGGTGGCGCGAATCCGGTCGAGGGGAGAGGAGGCGTTTGGGTCCAGTGTGCCCGACGAGAGGAGGCGGGAGAGTAGGGGGGGAGGGGGAGTTTAGGAGAGCCTTAAACCCTAGAAAACCCTACGAAAACCCTAACCGGAGTTTAGGTGGTTAGGGGACGGTAGCGGCAACCTAATCAAGAAAAGAAAATCATAACTATGGAGGGGAAGGGGAGAGAAAATATAATTAAAATAAATAAATAAATAAATAAAATGTAAGGAGTGAGGAGAGAGAATATTTATTTTTTGGGAATTTTCGGCAGCATTTTCCCACCCCACATGGGGTCAAAAATGTGCCAAGAGGAAGGAAAGAGCAAGAGGAGCACACTAACTTTCAAAATGCCGCAAATTAAAATTTTCAAAAAATAAAAAAATAAAAAAAATAGAGAAATAAATAAGGAGGTGGAGGAGAGTGAAGAGAAGCTAAGTTATGGAATTTTTCAAAAATTCGGCAGCATTTCGTTATCCACATGGGGTCGAACTGTGCCATCAAGAAAAAGACCAAGTTAAATGGGAAATTTTGGCCAGCGCTTTGCTACCCCCAAGAGGTCAAAATAAGCGGTAGGAAGAAAGTAGGGAGAACAAACAACATTCCGGCAGCACTTCGTTACCCCCAAGGGGTCAAAATGTGCGCCGACAGCAGAAAAGACTAAGTCCTAGCAAAATATAGAGGTGCCGCAAAAAAAGTTGAATTTTCATAATAAATAAAATAAAAATAAAAATAAATCAGAAAAATGAGAAAAGAAGTAGGGAATAAGATAATTCGAATTTTTGGAGGAAAAAGAAAAATTTAAATCAAAGAAAAAAAGCTGGGTAGCACCCCGTACGCGTACGCAGTGCGTCCGCGTACGTATTTCGGCATACGAGCCCAAAATCGCGCGCACGCGCACGTCAAAAAAAAAAAAAAAAAAAAAAAAAAAAAAAAAAAAAAAAAANAAAAAAAAAAAACCAAAAAAGCTGAGAAACAAGTATGTTGTGCAAAATCATAATACAACACAACGTTTGCCTGGGAGTCGTACCCGAATTCTCAACCAATCTTTGATTTAAAAATTAAAAACCTTAAAAATAAAAAATAAAAAATAAAAAATTTTAAAAATATTTTTAAATAATATTGCATTCTATTTAGTTTTTAAATTCTTACTTGAGTTTGGCTAAGAATTTGGGGATGACTCCTCGACAAAAGTTGTTTGTATCGTGTTTCTGCATAACATATAATTGTTACAGAAGTTTGTTTTTATTTTTTCTGTTTTTTCCTTGTTTTTCTGTTTTAATTATTTCAATTTATTTGTTCTTTGTGTCTTTGATTTTTAACTCGAGTTTGGTAGATAATTTAGAGATGAGTCTCAAGCAAAAGTTGCTTGAAATATCATTTTGCATAACATGATTTGTTTTTAGATTTTTTTGATGATTTGTTTTTTTTTTTTTTTTTTTTACGTATTTCCACGTACGGGAGTACGTGTACGCGCGTACGTGTCGCGTACAGGAATACGTGTATGTGTGTATGCACAACCCGCGTACACGTACGCCGTGCTACCCAGTGAAAAAGAAAGGAAGAGAAAAATTTGAAGTTGGTTCGGGGGGGAATGAAAAAGTGATGAAGAAGGAAAGAAATAGGTGAGAAGAGAAAGAAAAAGTAAAGTGGGAGATGGGAGAGATGATGGGGTTGTGGTTGGGGGAGAGAAGGGGGAGAGGAGGGTGGTAAAATGGGAGAGAAGGATATAGAAAAGGTAGAGAGAGGTAGATGATATTAGTGGGAGATGATGAGTGGGGAGGAGAGGAGAGAAAAAGGTTGTGGAAGATGAGTGGAGAGGAGGGTAGGAGTAGGGAGTAGTGGTAAGGGGGAGAAAAGATGATTAGATGATAGAGGGGGATAGAAAAGGGGTTAGGGGAGAGCAGGTTAGTGGGTAGAAAGGTGATACCAAGCTCTTGGGTGGCCAAGAGCAGAGCACTACCAAGATCAAGGTGTTGCTAGTCAGATGCCACTGCAATAAAAAAATCTGGGGTGGGTTGAGATCTTGATCAGCCACCCAGATGTCACTGTAGTGCAGCCCCCTAGCCAGGGGGGTCTTCAATCATCAGCAAGCTGCCACGTGGCATTGTTGGACATGGCCACAGGCAAAGAGAGGGGAGGTAGATGACAAACACTCTTTTGCCAATAACTTTTCACCCACTGGGTCAAATTTGGCAAAAGAGGATTTGTTGGAAAGCTTTTTGAAAGTCGCTTCCAACGAGATATGGTGCG